CTGGTTCTGTAAAATAAAATCCCAATCCTATTAAAAATCATGTTAAACCAAAGATTAAACATGAAAACATCGATTCAGGGAGAAAGTGTCAGTACCTTCAAATATACATTGTACAGTTTCAGTCAATAAGGAATCAGGTTTTGTTTGTTTCAGTCTATTTTATCTATTTATTAGAATTCTCACATGTATACAAAGTATTAAATATGTGCCTTTAAGTTAATGAACCTTTACAAGTTGAAAGTTAAAAGATTCTTTCTTTGTTCCTGAATTTTCTCCCAGCCTTCTGTCGTCCCTTTGATCTCTTGCTGAATGTTTAGTAAGAAAGTTGGTCTGAGAACCAAAGAACTGACTTGCTGTTGCCCGAGGCGTGTGTGAGTTAATGAGCCGCAGCATGCAGACACGAGAGCAGCGTAACGCGCGAAGTGAGGCGTAGCTCTGACAGGGCAAATTAAATTACAGACCAGCCAACTGGAACGCTGACATCAGTGAGTATTAAAACTTCCAACCGTCCGGAAAACCTGTCCTTCCACTGACTACTGCTACAGTAATGTTAACAGGTGGTTAATATTACAGGACTCTCTAATGTAGTTTATGAATGCTTATTTCCTGTATAAGGGCACAAGCCGCACAACAATTTATTTTTCCCTCGTTCATGGACATTTTTGATGAAAATTTATGAAAAGGACAAGATGAAATCAGAAGGCTGGGAGGAAAACGTTCATCTATATTCAATCTCTGAGGTTGAGTTTATTTCAATCATCTCATATTCTGTGTTTCTATGCTGATCTTCAAATTCAACATCAGCCTAAGTTTTTAGCCTCCGGCTACATACATTACGTTAATTACATGTATGTATTGTACATTCAAGTTGGGTCACAGTTAAGTTATATAACGTTGTACTGTATGTGCATGTACAGTATTTTGAACTTGTTTATTTCTGTCATTTCTTTGTTGATTTCAAAATAGAGTAACAAAAATTCATGGCTCTTGACATATTGTATTGTAATTATCTTAGATTTGCCATTCTTTGTTCTACTTCTAGTTTTCCATTTACTTTTTCCCGCTTCGCGGCCTTAACATATAGGTCAGAGCACTCCAGACAGACTCTCTCACTCACTTATGTTCCAACTAGACCCAATTTGCTTCTGTGCTTGATACAAACATGCACACTACATATTTCTGTACCTTTGTGTAAGTCCTTAACAGAAACATGAAACACGCACATTTGTACTCCTGTATGTTTAAGTCCTTGACACAAACACGCATGTCGTACTTCTGAGTGGCCTTCATTATTGACCTTGCTCTAGTCACACGTGTCTGATGATTTAATCAATAATCACTGACTATAGAACGACGATCAATAACCTGCAGCAGAATATCCTTTGTCCCGTGCCGTGTGTCGGCTGTCACTTCCATGGTTTCTATGGCGACCAGGATAACTGAGTTTTTTAGGCTGGATTGTTGTCGTTGTTATTGTGGTCAGACAGATTTGGTGCTGGTGTGGGGAGTCCTGTACAGAGGTCTGTATGATATGTCTGAATCGGTATGTTTTGTTACATGTTTTGTCCTCTGGAATTGTCCAACTAGTTCTGTATTTATGTCAAGCCACTAGGAAATGCATGCATTAGCCCATACCAATTTGATTTCTTCGCTCTTAGATTTTAAACTAACCTGAAGTACAGTGTAGTTTTAACATATACAACTGTAGTACCATTCCCGCGTGTACAATGTAACTGTAACATCAACATCATGATGAAAACAGTCTGAGAGGACATCTGAATACATAATAGGGTTTCCCACTGTGTCCCATTCATATCTTGAGGGTTGGGAACTATATGATATCCACTAGGTGTAATAAACGTAATAAAAAGTTACATTGCTTTATCTAAATATGGTGACCACAGTTTTGAATGCATGTGAGTGAGTGTGTGTGTGCGTGTGCGTGTGTATGCGTGTTTGTGTGTGTGTGTGTGTGTGTGTGTGTGTGTAGTGGCCTGATTTTTTTCTAGCATAGCAGTATACTATATTGCAGTCCTACTTCCTTGGTCTGGCTTGTAACTAGTATGGATGCCTGGCATTGCCTGCCATACAGTACTGTTACAGAAGTATATGCCTGCTGAACAGTACTGTACTGTACTACTGCAAGTACTACAGCCCTACTTCCCCGGTCTGGCTTTTAAGTACTGTAGTATGGAAGACTGGCATTGCTTGCTATGTGTACATGCAGTCCTGTAGTACTACAGCAGTCTACTGAATCCCAGCTCTGGCTTGTTTGCAGAGAAGTTATAGTCGAGGTTGGAAGGTCACCGATGATGAACGTCGGGGTTTCCCACTCTCCCCCCGCAGGGCCAGTTATCCGCGCTGAGCAGACAAGATGGCGGCCTGCGCGGGTTATGGTCCTCAAGGTCGCCGCCAAGGTCACCCGTCTTATTAATTTCCGTATTCCTCAGCCTGAGGATGTAGTGGGTGTGTGACTTGGGTCTTAAATGCAGTCCTTACATGTTTTTAAGACGTCTTTATTTCCTTTTGCACTGTTCTGAGGAGATTGCAGCCATTTCTGTGTGGGAAAGGATTTAAAGTTTCTAAAATAGCTACTAATAGAGTCTCGTTAAGAGCTAATTGATATTCACAGCTAACTTAAGGAATGATCCAATTTCAGCAGTTCCTTATGGGCATTTTCCCATTCACAGGTACGGTTTAGATTTGTGCTAATCTAATCTCGGCGAGTAAATTAAGCACAAATCCTATTTTCACACGTGGGATCATTGCTAATCCAATCTGCGCAGGTAATCCTGGTCGGTATCAGATTAAAGTGACGTGACAGCTCTCACAAGGTCAAACTTGTCCTGCAGGGTACGAGTTATAAACCAGTGTAACAGGCTGGGATACCCCTTGCTGAAAGTTCCTGGGTGCGTTGTGGCCAGGGGTACGACCTGGCCTGCTACACCTGGTCCCAACTTGGTCTTGTGGCACTGGGTAAAAGATGTGTCTCTGCAGGTGGGTTGGAGTGTGTCTTAAGTGTTTTACTGAGAATCTTGAGCAGCTGGTACCAGTGGTGAGAGTTTCCCCTCTCCCGTCTGCACCTTCTTATTCTGTACTAAGGGTGACCTTCAAATGTTTGCCCTTGATGCGTCGGCCATGTTTGTTTCCGTGCCTGCCAGCTACAACAGATCTGTGAAAATCAGCCCCATGATTGCTTCCAAAGCGCTTGATACAAGACTGATCTAAAGGCGTTTTCCCCCAACATGCGATGCCGGTGAGCCTTACTTTGTCGCTCTGTTCTTGTCAAGTTTGATAACGATCACACCCAACGAGATTATTCCATCATCGAGACTTAATTGTTATTTAAGGTCAATATTTGGATCAGTAAGAGCAGTGAGAATTATCCTTCGTTTACGTTATACACATCATGTTGGCGATGGTGAGTTATCTACCCTAGGTTGGAAAACTTTATCATCTCGGAGAAACTTGCACCTGCTACAATCAATGTACAAGGCAGTCAACAATGAACTCCCAGACTACATAGATAACTTCCAGATGGCTTTTGAATCCCACAGATACCCCACCAGACACAGCCAGAACCTATCTTTGAAACTGCCGCTTGTTCGCCTTGAATGTGGAAAGCGCAAATTCTCCTACAGAGGCCCTGCCCTCTGGAACAGGCTGCCAACTGCTATTAAGACCTGTCCGTCCATGTCCATTTTTAAAATGAAATGTAAGAATTGGCCTGACCTCTGACCCCTTCATGCCAACATATAGGACTGGACAATGACAATGACTGGACTGGACAATGATGTATTTTTTTGTTATTATTACTATTTATTACTGTTATTGGTTAATTACTGTGTTTTCGTTATTATCATTGCCATTATAATTTATTTATTGTTTTCGTTATTATCATTGCCATTATAATTATTTATTGTATAATTTTTGTATGCTAATGTTATTATTTGTATGTGATTGTTGTATTGTGCTGTGTAATACAGGGCCCCGTTGAAAAGCAGTGCCATCACTGAATTGGGTTACCCTGTATAAAAATGACGGAAAATAAAAAATAATCAGTTTTTCCTCGCTATCTATCCTTCATCATTTCTACCTTATCCAATTCCCAGCTGAACTGACTACCTAATAATATTTCTGTATCAAAGGTAGATTGTTGCATTCATAAGAGGTTCCCTTGGTGGTTATTTCTGTTGTTCGTGTTTATGTGGGTTGGTGGGTCAGATTAGATAGTGCCGGAATTTGTTTGTGAGGGAAAGTGGGTCATTGACCTCTTATCAATATGTGAACCTGCCAGTCTGGCCAGAGGCTTAATGACTGAACTACATGCTGTAATTAGACTCACTAAGAGTCTTCAGACAACGTAGAGGGACTGAGTGGAGGTATAATTGTATTTTTGTGTGTGTGTGTGTGTGTGTGTGTTTGTGTGTGCGTGCATATGTGTGTGTGTGTGCGTGCGTACTTGTGTGTTTATGCAGGTGAGACTGTCCATGATTGTGCAGGTGTGTGTGAAGCCAACCCAGTCCCGACCATGGTCCTGCACACGACAGAGTGTTTATGTAACATGTCCTTGTGTGTTTGTACAGGTGAGACTGTGCAGGTGTGTGTAAACCAGCCCATCCCGTCCCCAACATGGTTCTACATATGACGTGTGTTTTACATGTACTTGTGAATGTGTGTTTATGCAGGTGAGACTGTCCGTGTCCATGCGTGTGTGAAACAGCCCACCCAATCCCCACCATGGTCCTGTATAGGACATGTGTTAATGTACTTGTGTGTTTGTGCAGGTGAGACTGTGCAGATGTGTGTGATCCAGCCCTTCCCATTCCCAGCATGGTTCTACATATGACGTGTGTTTTACATGTACTTGTGAATGTGTGTTTATGCCGGTGAGACTGTGCAGGTGTGTGTAAAGCCCGTCCTGTCCCCACCATGGTCCTGCACACGACGTGTGTTTATTTATGTACTTGTGTGTTTGTACAGGTGAGACTGTGCAGGCGTGTGTGAAGCAGCCCGTCCCGTCCCCACAATGGTCCTGTACACGACAGAGTTCGACTCCCCGTTCCTGGGCAGCCTCCACACGGGGGCGTGGTCCCTCATCTTCCCCTGCTATTGGTCCATCAACCGCCTCGTCTCGCTCTTCATCGCCACGGACGACGAGCTGGCCAATCGGGAGGAGGACCCGTGCTACGAGCACTTCCTGCAGCTGTCCTTCCTCGTGCCGTTCTACTTGGCGGTCTCCGTGGCGACGAGTCCGCTGGCGCTGCTGGGATTCCGTGGTGTGGGCGCCGCTGCAGGGCTGGCGGCACCCGTACGTCTACTCCTGCTCCCCGGACACAAGCAACCACTACGTGCCTTGGAGACACCCGCGGGTCGGCAAGTCGTTCGTGGCGGGCACGGCGAACCTGTGCCTGCTCCCGGAGTGCGCCGCCAGGTACAACAACCTGCGCAGGACTCAGTGGCGGGCGCGCGAGATCGGGCACCGCATCGCCAGCTCGCAGACCAGCCCGAAGATAAACATCGTGGTGGAGTCCCCGTCCGAGGAGCAGTCGGACTCGGGTGTCGGGACTGTCCGGCGCGACGTGGAGAGTTTTGACTCGCGGGTCAGCAGCCTGCCGTCATCCAGCCAGTCGGGGAACGTGCACCACGCGGTGCAGCTGCACGCAGAGCCGGCGGGCAGCAGGCACGATCCCAACGCTCCGTCCTGCAGCAGACATGATCCCAACGCTCCGCAGCAGACATGATCCCAACGGGCCCTCCTGCAGCAGACATGATCAAAACTCGCTGTCCGGGGACGCCAGGAGGCCGCCGCCCGTCATGTGTAACGGGTTCATCCCCGGGTCGCATGCCGGGAACAAGATGATCCACATCAAGAGGCTGCCCCCCTGGACGGCGCCTGTGCACCCCCTCCCTCAGACTCCGCCCCCCAGGACGGGTCGGACACGACGTCGACGGAGGGCACCCTGTCCCCGGTGTCGCCCTCGTCCACCCTGGAGTACATGACGGCCTGCTCCAGCCTGTACCACACCGCCTGCTCCACGCTCGACTCCGGCATCGCCGTGCTCGACGGCCGCCCCGACGCGAACCAGCCGCCGTCGCCGCGCCCGGACGTTTCCCACGACATCAGCGTCGTGTTCCCGTACCAGCTGGACTTCCTCTGCCTGCAGGAGGTGTTCGACAAGCGGGCCGGCGACCGGCTGGCCAGGCAGCTGCACAGGTACGTAGGTGAATTAACATACTCAACATTTACGTTTGAAAAGTTACACTGTCTTACTGATCAGCCACCGATTGGTTGGACTGTCAGAAATGTACATAGAAGGTCCCAATCTTCCCAACCAACCTCTGCTTGGACAGTAACATTACCCGCTACTGACATACTGAGATGTTGTCGGTGAAGGTTAGACACCCAGGTAATATGATTATACATGTAAGATAGGCCAAAAAACTCAAACAACTGGATAATATGATATTGGAAACGGTCAGACGTTTCAGGTAGCCATATATATGCGCGAATACGACCTTATATGAGACATTCTGCCAAATTGCTATGCACAATACAATACATTACGCAGGTGCAGTACGTTCTGCTAGCACGAACTATTGATTGATATGCAAGTCAGTGAAGACCAATATGTTTTCCTGTACAGGTGGTTTGGGTACATCGTGCGAGACGTGGGGAACTACTCGCTCACCGGGAACTGTTTCGTGTTGAACAGCGGCCTGTTCCTGGCCAGCAGGTATCCCATCCTAGACGTGGCCTTCAAACACTTCCCCGAGAAAGCCAGGGAGGAGTACCTCGCCTGTAAAGGACTCCTCATGGCCAAGGTGAGGCGGGAATAATTCCTTCTCTGCAGTATATCTGCATCTGTATCATTCTGTATCTGTATACTGCCATCCTTCTGTGTAACACATCAGATTCTGTATGTTATCTGTATAGGCAGTATACTAATAACACATCAGCAATATGTATTTTTTCATTAAAATTTATGACAAATAACATAATTCAATTGAATTTCTTTATTTTGGGTATGTCACCCTGGATGATAGAAAACAGTTGTACAAACGTGAAAACAGAAATAAACTAGACATGCAACAATTTAATATACACATTTAAAAAAAGAGTGTATGAACTGATATCCAGACTTCAGTAGACACTGTTATTGGTGTTGTATAGTCTGTTGATGAAGGAATTATTTAAAAATAGTACTAACTTTACGTTCTTATCTCCCTGTGTTTACACCAATATGCTGCTAGTCTGCAGGTTTTGTGAGAATCAGATTGAAAATCCATACCCTGGACATGGTGCAGTGGTTACAGAATGATCTGTAGGAGCCTAAATAACAATCCTGATAAATTCCACCCAGAACCAGTGAACTAGGCATAAACATGATAACAGTAGTAAAATGGTTACTGTACAATGTTCATCCATCTGGACATGTTGTTACTGTAACATTGTATGTAGTAATGAAATCAGCCTTTGGCCATGGATTTGCAATAAAGATATTATTTTTATCACAAACATTATAACATTGAACCTTGCAACCACAGGCTAGCCCAGCATGGTCACAGTTTGTTTGGGCTCTATATGTGGGGACTCAATTTCTCATTAAGTTGCTGAATTACAGACAGACCCCGCTGCTCGTCAGCGACCCATCTGTCCCCTAAATTACACCCGTATCAGCACAACCCAGAATAACCCACGTGGGTCGATCCCCACATGTCAAAATCGGGGAGACTCACATGGCTTTGGAGCAGGGCTCTATCCAGCTCTAAAATTTTTTCCATCGGCCCAAGAAATTTTTTTCCGTCACGCACCATAAAATTCCTGATATTGACAGAAAAACTGGTGCTGGCTACAGCTGTGCATTGGACTGTCACGCTGTGTGGCTAAAGGATTGACCAGGGTTGTGTGGGGTGTAATTGACCCTGTGATTGCTGGGTAGCCGGGTCAGAGATGGCTCAGGCTCAGCAAAACCCAGAATAACCCACGTAGGTCAATCCCTGCCCTGTTGGGTTGGGCGCTGGAGTGGAAAACATCATGGCGTGTGACACAAGGATTGACCGATGTTGTGTGTGGTGTACATGTACATGTAATTGACCCTGTGATTGCCGGGTAGCCGGGCCAGACATAGCTCAAGAGCATCACCGTGTGTGTTGGGGAGATATTGATGATGACTGCTGGGGTAGGGCTTAGAGAGGTGAGGGTTAATGTTGGAGTGTGTCTGAAGGATGGACCAGGGTTGTGTGGAGTGTAATTGACCCTATGATTGCTGGGTAGCCGGGTCAGACACAGCTCAGGCGTGGGTCGGGGAGGTATTGATTGTGTGATTGGTTGTTGGTGGATAGCGATGGGGCGACGCACTGACCTGTGGAGGGTGTTGTACGAAGGGCAGTTATTTGTGACAGTCAGGGCCTGAAACATAAGGTCTATAATAACTGTTTTATTCCTCTTTATTGAACACAAACACGACTTTCCTCACTTCACTCAGGTGGAAATGAGTCAGAGATGGCTCAGGCTTGTCAGGGCCTGTAACATCAAATTTAATCTAATATTTATAGTAATATTATTTTATTTCTCTCTAGTGAAAATTGTTATTCAAGACTACAATGTATGTGAAATGATATATTTGTATAAAGTGGGAGGGCTTATTAGCATGAGCTGTCATAGCTTTCTTCCCTTATCCTGCATGTGTTTTGTTTGAACTTATTGCTCTGCTTCTTTTGTTGTACAAATTTGATAAACAAAAAATATATAACAAAAAATATAAATAAATTGCAGATTTACTTGGTCATCTTGTCAACCTTAATAATATGTCAGATAATGCTAAACTGCACTTTATTCTTAGAGGCTCCTCAATGTTACCCTCTATGTACAACTTTAAAACGATGCAACTCACTCAGGTTTACATTGGAGATACCAAGCGCTTCTAGCTCTGCTTGACTGTTTCTAACAGTCAATTAGATATAGAAGTCCAAATACTACGTAAGTGTTAATGGGCCTAAATTCTCCTCCTAGCTCTGATTGGCGGATGTTTTTCCGCCAATGAGATATAGGAGGTTACCATGTAATCTTATCTTTTAAATAGCTCTGTTAGCATTTAATTTAATATTTTAATGTCTTGGGGTGGTGGGACTACGGTGCACATGTCAACTTTGTATAATATTTAAATGTTAATTGTACCTTTTTTGTGTGTGGCACTGTTAATATAAGTTGTTAACTTGAGTGCAGTGCCACACTGTCCTTGTTATGTCTTTATGTTTTGATGAATAAAAAAAAAATATATATATATATATAATTAAAATTATTGTTTTTCCTTTTTGCAGGTTTTACTTGGGACCACCAAGGAACAGCAAAGGATAGTGGGATACGTTGCCAACACTCATCTCCAGGCTACAGAAGGTGGGATGTGTTGTTGTTTATTTTGTTAATCCTTTTTTTTTTCAATTGGCCAAAACTGCAATTTGGTGAGACAAACTGAATTGCAGTTTTTCCAAAAATATGCATTGTTAATTGATAATGGAGTCTTAATGAAATTCTCAATTCTAGGTAAACAGTTTCTGAGGTGAGAATGCCTTTGACAAAGGAGTGAGTTAAAAATGCCAAATTTCCCACATGTTGAGAGACAAGTCATGGGGCTGAGAGTGGTTGTTGTTGGTTCTTTGGATGATTTTATATTTTTGTCAATTTAAAAAAAAAAGTTTGAAAAAAAATTTCCGTCACACACCACAACGACTGAAAATTGATGGAAAAACGGATGCTTGCTACAGCCCTGTACTTGACACTATCATGTACTTTTTGCATATATTTAGCATTACCTTAAGATGTTAGAATGGACAGGCCGTCTGTACGTGTGAAACGGCAGTTTGGCTGATCCGCAGGAAATGAAGAGGAAATGGAAGGTTGTACTTTGGACATCACTAATGGCCAGCAGCAGGCAGGGTTATCTGTGGGGCATTTCTCTCCCTCTGTTGTACCCTCTGTACATGTGTGTGTGTGTGTGTGGGGGGGGGATGGTTCGGATGGACTTACAGCTGATAACCACCTGGTTATGCCAAAAAAAAACAGTTACTCAAGCAACTGGATATGATTTTGAAAACGTCAGACGTTTCAGCTAGTATCCACTAGCTTTCGTCAGTGACTGAGAGACCAGAGGGGAAAGCAGGTTTATATACACAACCTGTTGATTGATATGCAAATAAAGTGAAGACAAATTTTTGGAAGTCGAAAAAGGAACAAAAGTCAGACAAGTCAAGACAAGATGATGCAAATTAGTCTGAAAGCTCCTGTTATACAGGACAGGAGCTTAAGTGTTGTCTGTCCTCGGGGCTGGGAGTGCCAAATCCCAAGTGCCGGAAAGATCGACCCGTAGCCCCCCTTCCCTGTTGAGGGTGGGGTTGTACATTCTTTCATAAATTGCCTCTTTAACACCCCGTTCCCACCAGCGTGTTTCGCGGTCTAAGACATCCGTGGACTCGAGTTTGAAAGAGTGACCCTGGTTGTGTTGTAGGTGGTGGAAAATAGCTGAGGTGTAGCCGTTGGCACTAGGTCGGCAATGTTCTTTGTACCTTACTTTAAGCGGTCGACTTGTCTCTCCGATGTAGGTGTTGTTACAATTGGGCTCCTCACATTTGAGTCTGTAAATAACATTCGCCTTGGTACCCTTGTGAGGTCGGTCCTTAGGGTGTACCAGTCTTTGTCTGAGGGTTGAGTGAGGTTTGAAGTTAGTGGCTATGTTTTGGAAGATCCGTCGGAGTTTCTCAGATACTCCTTGGACATACGGAATAGTGATGTTGGCCTTGTTTTTGTTGGTCAATGGTTTGCACTTCTGGGTTTTCTTAGACTGATCTGAAGGTTTGAGCGCTTTGTTGAAAGTCCAAAGTAAGGTACAAAGAACATTGCCGACCTAGTGCCAACGGCTACTCCTCAGCTATTTTCCACCACCTACAACACAACCAGGGTCACTCTTTCAAACTCGAGTCCACGGATGTCTTAGACTGCGAAACACGCTGGTGGGAACGGGATGTTAAAGAGGCAATATATGAAAGAATGTACAACCCCACCCTCAACAGGGAAGGGGGGCTACGGGTCGATCTTTCCGGCACTTGGGATTTGGCACTCCCAGCCCCGAGGACAGACAACACTTAAGCTCCTGTCCTGTATAACAGGAGCTTTCAGACTAATTTGCATCATCTTGTCTTGACTTGTCTGACTTTTGTTCCTTTTTCGACTTCCAAAAATTTGTCTTCACTTTATTTGCATATCAATCAACAGGTTGTGTATATAAACCTGCTTTCCCCTCTGGTCTCTCAGTCACTGACGAAAGCTAGTGGATACTAGCTGAAACGTCTGACGTTTTCAAAATCATATCCAGTTGCTTGAGTAACTGTTTTTTTTTGGCATATCGTATTACCTGGATGTCTAACCTTCATCGACGCACCTGGTTATGTTTTACCTGCCAAGCTACAGGTGTGTTTGCAGGTGATGACCAGGTGATGTTTACCTGTCTAACCACAGGTGTGTTTGCAGATGATGACCAGGTGAGGTTACAGGTGCTAACCACAGGTGTGTTTGCAGGTGTGTTGCAGGTGATGTTCACCTGTCTAACCATACGTGTGTTCACAGGTGACGACCAGGTGAGGTTACAGGTGCTAACCACAGGTGTGTTTGCAGGTGTGTAACAGGTCATGTTTACCAGTCTAACCACAGGTGTGTTCACAGGTGACGACCAGGTGAGGTTACAGCAGCTCAGCCACATCCCCACCTGGCTGGAGGAGTTCCGCCAGGACACCTGGCAGGTCAACGACCCCTCCGACCTTGTCATGTTTGACCTTCTGTGTGGAGACTTCAACTTCAACAACCTTCGATCCGGTAGGTCAAAGGTCACATCTTTACTGTCTGAAATGTTCCACCAACTGTTTTTGGTTGATTCTGAGGAAATTCTTTGTGTATTTATTGGTTACCATAGCAACGGTGTTGCATTTCTCCCAGATAACAGGGACTTGTGGAGCCACCCGCTGTTTGACCTTTACACCGACCCGTGTCGGACAGCCCCGGGCGAGGACAAGCCATGGACCGTGGGTGAGTAGGGTGTGTGGGTAGGGTGGGTGAGTAGGGTGGGTGAGTAGGGTGGGGGTGGGTGAGTAGGGTGGGGCGTGGGTAAGTAGCTACAGGGTGGGATATGGGTAAGTAGAATGGTTAGATATTAAATAGTGATCTTCGCCTCACCTCACCAGTCCGATAGCAGTCACGTGACTGCCGTTGGGGCAATATGGCTTTCAACAATAGTCTTCCATCCCCGGCGGTACGTAGTGATCATATCAGTGATAATTCCTCATTTATTTAGTATCCCTTCTACAAAATGTATTATAGACACGAGCCGTAACATGTACAGACCACATGTACAGTAGGGAGGGCCTGCAAGCCCTTTTTCGTAAGGCGTAATCAGGCCATTTTAGACTTCGTAATTCGTAGGCAGCTCTGAAACTTTAACGTAATTCGTAATAGGCGGCGAAAATTTTGCGTAATTCGTAATCACTACCCCCCCCCC